TTCAAAATTTTCCAAACATAAAGAATCGATGACTGATATGGTAAAGAATCAATAAATTTTTTCTACGGTTGATCGAGCAGTGACATGCTGTTACATGTATTGGAATATAGTAGATAAATCATTCAAGTTTATTTAGTTATTGCTTATAAATGATTGATTTAAATTGAATCAAACAAAATCTGTTTGAAGCATTATTAATATTATTCTAAATTTAAAAAGATTATTTTTTTAAGAAATAAACAACAGTCAATGCTAAAAAGTTCTATGGAAATGAACTTTTAGTTGGTTATTTGATCAAATCCGGGAAAGCCCGAAGGGCTTCTCAGTAGATTTGATCATGTGACCAACTAAAAGTTCATCTCCCAGTGAATTTTTTAACATTGTTGTTTATTTCTTATATTTACATTTGAGATGAATAAATTCTGAATAAAACTGCATTTAGTACACGAACGGGCCACCGTATTGCTATGTTGTGACGCGCAGGGGCCTAGAAGTTGTTTGGTCTTGAATATTTGTGTCGCTTCAACATTTGAATATTTACAATGATGTTCAGCAGTCCAGTTCAGGAATTCTATGTTTATAATGTAAGAACAATGATCCCCACTTGAATAATCTTACTATTTTGGGCCCAAAAAAAAGTAATTAATAGTTTCTCAGGCCAAAAAATTTAAAATTCAATGGTGCGGGCAGGCTTTTTTTGTTTTTGTTTTTTTTTTTTTGAAGCAGGTTTTACACCTCTTTTTTAGCCATTTGTTCATTAAAATGATAATGTCTACTAATTCTTAATTTTTGTTCTCTGAAGTTTGTTATAATGAGTTTTTAACTTAAAATAATGTTATTCTAAACATTTATTTAAAAGTTAATTCATAAGATATTGTAAATTTAGAAGAAATATATTGTTTTTCTAATAAAAACGTCTACCTTAGCATTTCTGAAAAGGGCAATAACTCAATTTTCTTTTTCAACTTGGAAAATAGAAAATTTAGTTATCTCCCTTTTCAATATGTCAGTAAAATTGATCAGTGCAGCCGTTTTTAAAGTGATGCGGCGGTGCCTGAGAAACTATTGATTTATTTTTTGGGCCTTATGAGTTTTTAATATATTTGAAGTCAAAAGCTGTGACCTCCCCTGTTTTAGTTAACATAACTTCAAAGGAATTTCTGGTTAAAAAGGTTTTAGGCTGTACTTATAGTATTTGAAACATTCTTCACACCAAAGGAAGATCTATTGAACATTTGTTGAATGAAAATATCTATATGTGTCAGTTATTTTACCTTTTTCATTGCTTTTAACCTGGTATTTTCCACAAAAGACAGAAATATATGCAACAAGTTATCACCTCGCAGAGCGATTGGTCGCGCTATGACCCCCCAAAAAATTTCTCACAGAACTAAACATTTTTTCCCCAATGGGTTTCATTAAGAAACATATAATGCATGTAAATATTAATCATTGATTTTTGTTTTTAACTAAAAAAACTAAAAACCAACCTTTTGTTCTCCAGCAATAAAAAGCAACTCCAATAATAATAAACAGTAAAAGAGGTATGGCAAAGTGGAATTATAATGTGCAGTTTGATGGAGAGACTGGTTCACTGTCAGTCCTATTGGCGGGTTTTTTCCACTGGAAAATAAGACCATTCTTACATGTTATTAAGTCACAAATAACTACAGATGTTCAAATATTCTCGATTTCTTGCAATATGAAAACAAAATTAAGGCCCAATGGCTAATTGCTCACATGTGTTATTACCTTTCACTCAAATAATAATAATTTAATACAGATCATGCTATTTTGTAGCCATCTAAATTAAATTTCATGTTTCAGATTTTTTAAGAAAATAAAAACTTGAATTTAAGTTTAAAAAAATGTTGTTTTGTTGCAGTTTCAAAGGTTATATATTTCTGATTATATACATTTTATCACCTATTGTAGTCAAGGCCCCTGGTATATGTACCATTTTTAACATTAACTTGTCTTTACTATACAATTAAACAAACAATGCATGTCAATATGATTTATGGATTATGGTGTACTTTTTTCTTGTTTATTAATATTTTAAAATTTGAAAAAAAGGGAAAAGAACAAATAAAATATTGATTGATTGTATACTGTTTAAGTCCCTCTCCAGAATATTTCACTATATGGAGAGTCATCATTGCCGGTGAAGGGCTCAAATTTAGGCCTATGCTCAGCACTCAGGGCCTTTGAGCAGGGGGGGATCTTATCGTGCCACACCTGCTGTGCACGGGGGCCCCGGGTTTTACTCTATCCAAAGGACCGCCCCATTTAGTCGCCTTTTACGACAAGCGGGGTACTAGGACCCATTCTAACCCGGATCCCAAATCAAGAATAAGCAGATACACAGATTGATGGTGGAATCTATTATCAGAAAAGCTCACAAATTGGTTCATCTTTGTTTAAACTAGAGGTCCAATATTTGAAATGTTTAAAAGTGTCCACATATTCTTATTACTTATTAGTTGATGATTATGTAATTATCAATAAGCAAAACACATTTTTGCACTCATCAAATGGATTTCAGCAATTCAAACTTACAAAATGTCAACTGTAAACATTTGATGTGTATAAACCCTTGCTCTAATACCATGATTAGAATAAATATGCATATAAATGACACATTAGACTTAACTACTTGTATTTGATTACCGGTATACTCTGTTGTTCTTTAGATGAACTTTTGTGATAGCTAGATTTTACCCTGTATATCCATGTCTTATTTTTTTTTATTCCTTAACAATAGCCCCTTCAAGCCCTAAGGGATCATATGTTAAAACTAAACTTTTTGATGTCCCCGTGATCGAAGATTCAAGTGTATATAGTTTTTACCCTGTCCTTCCATCTGTCTGTTTATCTGCAAAACCTTCAACCTTGCCCAATACTTTTGACTGGGTGGGGCTATGGCTTAATATTTCACAGGTGTATTTCTTGTGACAAGACCTTTCTTTCCCAAAAAAGTTTATCTCTTAACCTTGATGTTGGTGTAGGGCTTTATTGATACTTCATTTGTGTATTAATTGTGACAAGAACTTTCAATTACTGAATTAGTTGAAATATTTTTAACTTCTGATCTTGACGGAACAGTTTGAGCAGCTTTGTAAAAGAACCTTAACCTTGGCACTAACTTTTGAATAGTTAGTACAAGTGCTTTCATACTTCACAGATGTATTCTTTGTCACAGGACTTTTCTTTGGATACCAACAATTTTGAATTTTTGCCTTGACCTTGAGTTTGGTTTGCAAATCAAAAACTTCAACCCTTGCTATAAGCAGTGATATGGGGGCATCAGTGTTTCAAAAACACAACTTGTTTTTTCAAAACAGATAACATTCCTGATCTTTGACTTGATTGGCCTTATGCTTGTCAAGATACAATTTTAAAAAAATACGCACAACAAAAACACATAAAATATTTGAAACATTTAAGTGTCAATTATATAGTCATATGAGAAACTCTTATGATCATGATGCCCAAAATCTATATGAAATGCGCATTCTTTTTTTAATATGTTTAAAAAAAAGATAATGAAAATTACTACTTGTCAAAAATACTTACATTATAAGAGTTTTGTTTAGACACCCAGGATCTGTTAAAAAATGGAAAAAAAATTCTATAAGTAAACACATATATGCCACCTGATTAAACGAAAGGCCCAAGGCCTAATGTGTTGTTCTTGTGAAGAATTTTAACGATATTTCCCAATATGTACTCCTACATAAATCTTTGATCACACAATGCGGCCCTTCTCTACCCCTGGGGGTCATGATTTGAACAAAGGCTCAGGTGAGCTTATAAAAAATATTTAAAAAAAAAGAACAAAAGCAGAATATTCTGGAACAGTTTTTCAATTCAAAATAATATTTGAAAATTTTACTTTGCAAGATTTAATCAAGTCAATGATTATGTTTGATCTTTAAAAGTAAATGTTAGACAATGTATTGAAGTTAGCTATTCTGATTGCAGATAAGAAGTTTCAAGTGAATCCTATTTGACATAACCATTCACTGTAGTATTGCCCAGTACACTCAAACTTTGAGTTGAAACATCAATAACATACCTGACAGAAATTCACAATAAGTAAAACACAAGTATTTAAGTTTGAATCTACTCCACTCAATAGTTCAAGGATGAGAGAAACAGAAAACCAAGGCTCATGCATATGGGCCACATAACTATACCGTATATACTCGTCTATAAGTCGGTTTTTGGGGAGTTAATCTCAGGTCCAAAACTCTTTGTCCGACATACAGGTGAGCTATAAAAAGAATGGTATTATATGAGGTCAGTCCCTCTGATATATAAGTTTATTAAATACAACCGACTTATAGGCGGACCACTTATAGGCGAGTATATACGATGATAATTATTGCTATGCACCCCTCTTCTGGGCCAGGGGTAAATGATTAGAAAAAAATGAAGCTACAATAACTTTAAAATTAATGCTTCCATATTGTGGCTTTAGAACATGTAGAAGATTTTTTTTCAAGATTTCTTATAATACATTTGATTTTCTCTTGTGGCATTGGTCTGCTCTAATTGACATCATTAGAACTGCTTTGAATCTAAACTAAATATAGAGGCTAATCAGGTTTCCATATAAATAGGACTTTTTATTTCTATGCTGTTCTCAAAAAGAATATTTTTTCAAGTATTTTTTCAATGAACTCTTTTTTTTTTTTTTTTACATAACTTAGATCACTTATTGTGGAAAAACCCAACCATTATGATTTGAACAAACTTGAACATGTTGAAAACTACCTGAGTGGTCATGTTTCCAGATACATGTACATGATGTACAAAGAGGACCATAATGGCTTAGTTGTTCTCAAAAAATAAGTGTAACTAATATTTCCTTTCTAAAGAATTAATTCATACAATTTTTTAGAAAAAAGCCACAAGAGCAAAATTTAAATTCAATTGTATCAACTTTATCCAAAAAAAAAATCCATATTAAAATATACTTACAATTGATGTAGCCTGTTTTGTATGATTTGTGTGATAAGCTAGAAATAATTAAATTCAAAAGGCAGCTCTTGAAAAGAGTTGGCATTTGTAAGGTTCAAAATTTGGTTTGGTTCAGATTACACATGCACAAATGGAAATGCACTAATAGTGAAAACTCTATATTACGTACTTAAAAAATAATTCAATGTTTTTATCTATATTTAATGTTTTCAATTTAGTTTAATCAAAGGACCTGAGGATGAATATTCAAGACAACAAATTGAATGTAGTACTAATTCAGGTATTTTACATAAAGATACATTAATGTACATATGGTTCCTAGCTTTTACAAATCATGAACAAAATTATATGGATCGAAGAATCAATTCATGTCATAAATTAATAATACTGCATATTTTAAGACTTGCTGTTTTTATCTGAGAATTTGTACTTACATAGATAGACTTTATTAGATCTGTAATCTGTGTCTGAGCATGCTCCATACTGAAGGTCACAGGGAATGAGGTCAATCTTAACGGCAACAGTATTGAAAATTGGACAGTGATCTACATAATGAATTAATGAAGAACTGTTCAAGCAGGACTGCAACAAAACTCTATCATAATTACTTATTTTTACATGTAGTTAATATTAGCTATACTTATATTATTTTCAAGTTCTATTCATAATGAGCGCAGCGAGCAGCACATAGCACTGCTTGTCACTGCAAGCTTTTAAAGTAATGCCTGTACTGTGATCAAGAGAAAATTCTAACTTTGCATACAGTCGCACTGTCAACATATCAACAAACTTATAATTATATGCAAGTCTGCCACCTAGCAGTTCCATAATGCAAATCTGCAAGTTCCAACAACAAAATTTCTTAATTTTTTTTGCAAGCCACTGAATAATCATATTTATTATCTAAAGTCTAACATGCAAACTAAAATTCTGTGTGTAATACTTCCCACTTCTGGTCTTTTCTCTTATAAGAACATACACTGTACCTGCATTAATTTCCTCTTAGACATGCATATAACTACAATAACTATGCAAGTTTTTCATAATATATTTTACATTATAACTTTCTATAATTTCCATTAGATGTTATACTTACATATACATGTATAACTAATTTGATGCTGAAAAGCTTTTTTGTTTTGATTCAGCCTTTTTCATCTTTGTTTATGATCACAACTGATAAGATATTTGTACAATAAGGTGATGTGTAATTTTGTGTATAGTAGTGTTGTCAAATCGGTTGAAAATCAGAATTGATTAATTGGCAGCATCGGGTTGAGTCTAACCAACTGATCATCGGCCAAAAAATTGAATCAGTAACCATTTGTGTAAAATAGTCATTAGACTAGTCATAAAATGTAGAATTTAATTTTATAATAATGTAAGTAAAGGTGCATTGTACAGATAAAAATTTTAAATACATTAAGCAGCTTGATTAGCAATTTCAGTAAATAAATACAGATTTCTGCATGATTAGGAATAACTTGACCTGGGAAAAAAAAGCATTGACAGATCAGGTTTCAATTAACATGGGAATTAATTTTTTAACTGTTATAAGACATTTAATATTGCAAATCCATGTGATTCCGTATGAAATGACAAGTGAATTCTCCCAAATACTGAAAACTAAATTTTATTTATACAAGTAGTTTAGTTTCTTCAGTTTAGAAATACAAGTATCATTATCTTGTAATTTATTTTAAACCAGATTTTATAAGTAAGTTAAAATGGTAAATGTCAACACTTGGATGATATATATTTTGATAACAAGAGCTTTTTCTTGAAATGAAAGAAAAAGTGAGCAAGCTCACATACCCCACGCTCCCCAAAAACTCAAAGTGCTGAAAATCCTGGAAAAAATGAAAGAATCGGAATTTCCTGGTGATATGCACATCTACAAATTGTGTCCTAAATATCTGCAAAGTTTGATGAAATTCTGTGCAGCGGTTTATGAGGAGATGCGCTGACAAACTGTTCACCGCTATATTCAAGATATCCCCAAAAATCTAATTTGAAAAGTGCCAAAATTCCAGAAAAATAAAGGAATCGGAATTTTCTGGTAATATGCACATCTACACACTGTGTCCTTAATATCTCCAAAGTTTGACGAAAATCTGTGCAGCGGTTTATGAGGAATTGCGCTGACAAACTGTTCAACTCTATATTACCACTTATACGAGCCTGGTCTCGGATAGGTGAGTTTATTTCAGTAACCCTATGTCCTTCCATTCCGGATATCTTAAGCTCTTACAGATATATAATTATATGTACCTTTAGTCCCAACCTATCAATCCGGAAAATTTAGGTCCATTTACATACTAGTCTAATAATACTTAGTTGTTTCCTCCTCTTCCTTTTCTTGATTAATCGATAAAACGGTAAGGTCATGGAAAATTTTGTGAAGTTGAATTGTTGCAATATTTTAATTTTCGTAATGAAATAAGTTTAATTTCATGAGTAACTATCATGGTTTGTGATTTCTAGCCCAATTAGACGTGCCGATGGTGTAATTTTACTTTGGATTTTGCCCGAGATTTTTTGTTAAGATCAAACGTCGGCTAATTGGTTGAATTTACACTATATGGTATAATTTGAATGATAGATAACAGCAATATGAAACAAATGGAAGTGGATGGTTTAACTTAAGTAATTATTTTTTAGGAGTAACAATTCCCGATTCGCTTATGGGTTGGGGGGGTGGGGGGGGGGTCAAGCGCAGAAATATTAAGTCAGGCATACTAATCCGTTTTAAGCTTTGTTTTCCAATGTTATGAAGCCTGAAGAAGGTACTTAGTACTTGCACATTTTGCCAAAATTTAATAGTCTTTAAATGGCCTTGACTATTGAACATTCACGAGAATTGCGTCACTTTCACTTCTGCAGTAATCAAAGTACTGAAAGTACCGAAAGGATGTTGGTTAATATCATTGTTATGAGTCATTTGCAGTTTGGTATTGTTTCATTTATTTCCTGGTCTATGGGAACATTTTAAGAAAATGCATAAAGGCATACACAGATAATATTTTACCGAAAAATAAAAGGTCATAGTTTTATATGAGCTGATTTTTCTCTTAATTTTTTTTTTTTGGAGGGGGGGGGTATTAGGATGTAGAATTTGGCTTCATCAACCGTAGCATAAAGCAGCAATAATCAATCATTCATATGCCTTAGAATAGATATGCTGGGTTCAGCCACAAACAAGGAGCAAATTACATTAGTACAAGGCGTAAGAGTCGCACAAGGGTAAGAAGCTGTTACTTTTATCTCAGGATGTCTCGAGATTCATACTGGTCCTTTAAAAATGAAATTAAACTTCACAAATTGATAAGAAAATAAATCATTCTGCTCAGATTGAGTTTTCGATAACTTGATAGGATTGACTGGAATGCAAATTAAAGCTTGGAAATAAGCATTTAAATAAAAATATTAATAATTTCAATCTCTAATAGAACTAAATTCTCTACCCTTAAATGTCGTAATACTCTGACATATTAAAGCATTTTATAGTCAAGCAAGCATTGCCCAGGAGAAACAAAATTGAGTAACTTAGCAGTACTTAATTAACAAAGATTGCATTGGGGGAAAGTGATCTTTAAACAAATAAAAATTAGAATAAAAGAATATTATAATTAAATACTGGGGTGGAAAGATGTATGAAAACAGTAGAAATAGAATGGCAATTAGAAAATAAATAAATAAATAAATTAGAAAATAAATAAATAAATATAAAAAAATAAAATATTTTAAATTAATTCTTTTAATTCAAATGAAGGGAAATAATTCTTACCAAAATTTAAGGTCATAAATTAGGACAGATTCCACCCTTACATGCTAAGCCTAATGGTAATAATTGAGAGTTATGTCAAAATAAATTGAGTATTTAACAGTAACATATCTTTAATGTATTCAATGTCACAGACCTACAGCATACTCCAGACTCTATATTCTCAGATATTTAACTAATTTCATCATTCAAAATTGTTGTACATTGACCAATCCATTTTCATTTACAGATAGGTATGTCCATTGCCCACCAACTTATCTGAACTACCGGTATTTTGCATGTGTGACTGATTGTATAAGAAGCATTGTTTAAGGAAGTTCTCAAGTAACATAAACCAACTAAAAAGCCATAAAAAACATATGTGCTTGCTTATTGTCATACATTACAGCCTGTTTCAGAGTACATAACCTTCAAAATTCAATTGCCAAAATTTAATGTAGAGTATTTTATATTGTAGTTTTGCACCAAAACACAAAATCAACAATTGATTTTGAGTCTGCATCACAAAATCCCTTAATTTTTTATAATCATAATAACTCTCAAATGATTTTATTATGCCATTTTGTATTGAGTAGGATAATATCTATGGTAACTTAATTGATAAGGCACATGTTTTATCATGATTGATCAAAATAAGTTTTACAAAGCAGTCTTTGGGACAGATATACCCCAATTTTAGTAATATCAAGTTTACCAAAATTATTGGCAAAATTTTAAAAATAAAAATATACAAAGAATCATGCTGTCTTGAAATGAATTATACATCTAAAGTAAATTTGTATAAAAATAAAAACAATTCCTTTTTAGTGTTAAGGCAACTAAGAATTGGGTGTATCAATCTGTGTGTCAGCATACAATGACCTAGCTTGAGTTAATCAAACTTGCAGATGGCAATTATTAATTTTCGCATGAATATAACGATATACCAAATTCCATATGCTCAACAATCTCAAGTAAACATAAAAAAGGCATGTATAAAATAATTTAAACCAGATTCGTATAAGTTAGGATTTTCCTTAATTACCAAATATACATTTCAAGGTTTAATGTTAAGGACATAAACTTGATATAAATTACTATTACCATCATTTCTGAGAGGAAACTACTCTCTTTGAACAATATTTTTTGGTCAACATTCTTACAATTCTTGTTTTTGTTTTAACTGAGTTAAATTGCCCGGTTGACAAGATGCAATATAAATCTAAAATATACGGTTCCTTTAATTGAAGTTTTATATGAGAGGTTGAATGGGACGTTTGGCTCAACCCTCTTTTTAACAGAAATTGCGGGCGGGTTTAGACAGTATTGGATAGCTTATAAAATATATTTGTCATTTTTGTAGGATAAATATTAAAACTCGCTCACTTCAATTACTGAAGCAAATACTACACATTTCCCATCAGAATGCAACAGGGAGGACAAGGTTATTATAATCTTGAAAATTGCTGCTTTTCAAAAGCATATTGTTTAAACATTAATAAATGCACAGTGGATCCCGTTTAATCCAATAGTAAGTTTGTCACCTTCTGGTATCAGAATAGCTGAATATTCGAATAGCCGATTGCTCCATTTCGAGTCCAAATATTAGGCCTACCATGTGTTCACCTATTTTTACACTCTTTACTGGTATTCTATTTTTTCCCTATTTCTAATCGATAGTTGGTTCTTAAATTGTGAAGTACTAAAGAAGGGTCTTAATTTATATAGATAGGTATATAAAGGGATCGGTTTGGGGGGGGGGTATTAGGACACATTGTTATT